CCCAGCAGGAACTCATTAGCATAATAGGCCACACCCAACAGCAGGAACTCATTAGGATTGGCTACATTAGGGGTGTGTGGCCTAACATGCAAAGGGAGTTCCTGCTACAAAAAAAGGCCCTGGGTTTTGACCACAAACAAGGTAAACAGAATAAGAAGCAAAAGGTGGGTGTGGCTGGATGACCACACTTCTGGTAACGTGGGGGTGCGGCCTAATATGCTAATGAGCTGTGATCATGGGTGTGGCATATTATGCTAATGAGTTCCTGCTGTGCTTTTTCTACAAAAAAAGCCCTGCTGCTTGGCATGTAGAAGGTCCCAGGTGATACGATCACCACCTTCAAGTCCTTAAAGAGCTGTCCCGTAGAGGATGGTGCAGAGTTGTGTTTTGTTGCCCCAGAAAGTTCGGCCAGAACCAATGGATTGAAATTAAATCAGGAGAGTTTCTGGCTAAACATTAGGAAGAATTCCTCTTTGGAACAGCCTTCCTTGGGAGGTGGTGGGCTCTCCTCCTTCGGAGGTTTTCAAACAGAGGCTCGATGGCCATCTGACAACCATGCTGATTCTGTGAACTTGGGCAGATCGTGAGAAGGAGGGCAGGAAGGATCGCGCATCAGTGCTTAGTCCTCGTGGCCCTTCCTTACACACCCAGGGGAATGTTGATCGCCACTTTGGGGTCAGGAAGCACTTTTTCTCCAGGCCAATTTGGCTGGAGATCCTGGAGGTTCTGGGCATGAAGCAGCTGTCACTGGGTGTGTGTGGAGGGGGAGGTATTTGTGAATGTCCTGCATTGGGCAGGGGGTTGGACTAGTTGTCCCTGGAGGTCCCTTAAGAACATAAGAACATAAGAGATGCCAATGATGGATCAGGCCAGAAATTCCAGGTGCCATCAGGAGGTCCACCAGTGAGGCCAGGACATTAGAAGCCCTCCCACTGTTGACCCCCCCCCCAAGCACCAAGAAGACAGAGCATCACTTGCCCCAGAGTCCCTATCTATCCCTTGTGGCTAATAGCCACTGATGGACCTCTGCTCCATATGCCTATCTAATTCCCTCTTGAAGCCGTCCATGCTTGTAGCCGCCACCACTTCCTGTGGCAGTGAATTCCATGTGTTAATCACTCTTTGGGTGAAGAAGGACTTCCTTTTATCCGTTCTAACCCGACCGCTCAGCAATTTCATGGAGTGCCCACAAGTTCTTGTATTGTGAGAAAGGGAGAAAAGTACCTCTTTCTCTACCTGCTCTATCCCATTCATAATCTTATAAACCTCAATCATGTCACCCCTCAGTCGTCGTTTCTCCAAGCTAAAGAGCCCCAAGCGCCTTAACCTTTCCTCATAGGGAAAGTGTTCCAACCCTTTTATCATTCGAGTTGCCCTTTTCTGCACTTTTTCCAAAGCTATAATATCCTTTTTAAGGTGTGGTGACCCTTCTGACTCTATGATTTTGTGATTCAATCCCCGGCATCTCCCGTTGAAAAGGATCGGGCCGTAGGTCATGGGAAAGACTTCTCCCTGAGACCCTAGAGAGCTGCTGCCAGTCTGAGTAGCCAGTACCGAACTTGATGGACCGATGAACTGATTCATTATAAGGCAGCTTCATGTGTTCATGTGTGTTCATATTCCTCACTAGCCATTTGTTTTCGGGACTAATCTTCCATGCTCCCCCCCCCCCAGCATAATTCTGCTCCCCCAAGGCTGCAAACTATTTCTGGACATTTGGGGGGAGAGCAGGGTCTGGGGAGGGACCCCAGCTGGGTATAATGCCACAGAGTCCGCCCCCCAAAGCAGCCATTTTCCTCCAGGGGAACAGATCTCTGTGGTGAGGAGGTCAGTGGTCATTCCAGGTCTCCAGGCCCCACCTGGAGACTGGCAACCCTCGCTGCCCAGCTCGATCTGTCCTCGGAGCCCCGTGCCACTCGAGGAAACGGAGAGCATGAAAACGAAACGGGAAAAGACCCAGGGTGCGGGTATGTGTGTGTGTGTTGATCTCAGCAGGCAGAAAGTTTGTGTCAGAAGGACACAGCTGCCTTTGCGGCTTGAGTTCCAAAGAAAAGGGAGAGGAAAGAGAAAAATCTGCAGACGGAACAGTCCTTCAGCTGTGCACTGCTTGGCCATGAGGCCCTGCCCGGGTGTTTTGCCTATGAGTTTAGACTTGGATTCCAGCAAGTTGGTTTAAAAACACACACACAGAGAGAGAAATTCACGGGAAGCTCCCTTCGACTGAGTCAGGATATTTATTTATCCAAGCCAGCATTGCCTGTTCTGCTGGCAGCAGGTCTCCAGGAGAAAGCCTAGATAGAGAAATGTCTCTTGACAGACAGACAGACAGACCTCGCGTGAGGCTGGGGAAGATAGGTAAAATGAATGCAGATAGATAGATAGATAGATAGATAGATAGATAGATAGATAGATAGATAGATAGATAGATAGATAGATAGATAGATAGATAGATAGATACATACATACATACATACATACATACATACATGACAGATACATGATAGATAGAGAGATAGCGAGACAGATAGACAGATAGATACATGAGGTCCCCACTGCTGGACCTCCTGATGGCACCTGGTATTTTTGGCCACTGTGAGAAGGAGGAGGAGGAGATTCGATTTATACCCCGCCCTTCGCTACCCAAAGGAGTCTCAGAGCGGCTTACAAACTCCTTTCCTTTCTCCTCCCCACAACAGACACCCTGTGAAGTAGGTGGGGCTGAGAGAGCCCTGACAGAAACTGCTCTTTTTCAAGGACAGCTGTGCCAGAACTATGGCTTGCCCAAGGTCATCCAGCAGGTGCAAGTGGAGGAGTGGGGAATCAAACCCAGTTCTCCCAGATTAGAGTCCGTGCATCTAACCACTACACCAAACTGCCAGAGTGTTGGACTAGATGGGCCATTGGCCTGATCCAACATTGGTTTCTCTTATGTTCTTATGGAAGATAGATAGATAGATAGATAGATAGATAGATAGATAGATAGCCTCTTCTTTAGATAAGATTATATAGATAGAAGAATGCCCCTCTTCTTTAGACAGATACATAGATAGAAAGAATGCCTAGATAGAGAAATGAGTAAGAGCCCAGTAGCACCTTAAAGACTAACAAAATTTGTGATAGGGCCCTGACTTAAATAGCCCAGGCAAGCCCAATCTCATCAGATCTTGGAAGCTGAGCAGGATCAACTCTGGCAAGTACTTGGATGGGAGACCTCCAAGGAATACCAGCAGTCGGGAGGTGGGGGCAGGCGTTATTCAGCCACCCCTCTGAATATCCTCCAGGCCCCCAGAAGGGGTCAGTCACCAGAGGCCGCCATTATTTCCAGGTGTGCGTGCACACACATTCTCTCTCTCTCTCACATGCACATATGAAAAATACAAAAAAATACCCCCAAAACTTTAGTAGGGTATGAGCTTTTGTGTGTCACTGCTCACTTCTTCAGATAAGCAGTGACTTATAAAAGCTCATATCCAAGCACAACTTTTGTTAGTCTCTTTAAGGTGCTAGTGGACTCTTGCTCTTTTCTACTGCTACAGACAGACTAACAGGGCTACCCATCTTGATCTATCTAGAGAAATGCCTCTCAGACAGACAGGCAGATGATAGACATACAGACAAGCAAGCAGAGCTGTCAAAAGACATGGCCAACCAGTTCCTCTGTAGGGCCAACAACAGGGCAGAGAGATTGAGGCCTTCCCCTGATAAAACTGATAACATCAGAAGATCCCTGCTGGGTCAGACCAGTGAGGGTCCCTCGAGTCCAGCATCCTGCCTCACACAGTGACCTCAACCAGTTCCTCTGGAGGGCCAACTACAGGGCAGAGAGGCCGAGGCCTTCCCCTCATAAGAACCCCTCATAAGATCAGACCAGTGAGGGACCATCTAGTCCAGCCTCCCGTCTCACACAGTGGCCTCACCCAGTTCCTCTGGAGGGCCGACAACAGGGCAGAGAGGCCGAGGCCTTCCCCTCATAAGAACATCAGAAGAGCCCCGCTGGGTCAGACCAGTGAGGGTCCCTCGAGTCCAGCCTCCCGTCTCACACAGTGGCCTCACCCAGTTCCTCTGGAGGGTCGACAACAGGGCAGAGAGGCCGAGGCCTTCCCCTCATAAGAACATCAAAAGAGCCCTGCTGGGTCAGACCAGTGAGGGTCCATCTAGTCCAGCATCCTGACTCACACAGTGGCCTCAGCCAGTTCCTCTGGAGGGCCAACAGCAGGGCAGAGAGGCCGAGGCCTCCCGGCTCTGGGATTCAGAGAATTAGTGCCTCTGGATGTGGAGGTTCCCTTCAGTCAACATAGCTAGTAGCCATTGATAGACGTGTCCTCCATGAACCCATCTAATCCCCTCTTAAAAGTCTTTATTCGTGTGGCCATCACTACATCCTCTGGCAGTGAATTCCACCTTTTTAATCCCTCTCTGTGTAAAGCAGTGCTTCCTTTTGTCCGTCCTGAACCTACTGCCCGTCAGCTTCACTGGACACTCTGGAGTTCTAGTCTTTGGGGAGAGGGAGAAAAAAGTCCTCTCTGTCAACTCTCTCCGCCCCGGGAACTAATTTGATAAACCTCTGTCATCTCCCCTTTTCGTCGTCTCTCTTCTTACCTGAGAAGCCCCGGACCCTTCAGCCTTCCCCCCTAGGGAAGGTGCTCCAACCCGCTCTGTACTTTGTCCGGTTCTGCAATGTCCCATTTTGGAGATACGGTGACCAGAACTGTACACAGTGTTCCAAAGGAGGCCGCACCACAGATCTATGCAGGGGCATTACAATTCTCACTCCCTTTCCTAATAATTCCCAACACAGAGTTGGCCCTTTTCACCTCTGCAGCACACGGGGTTAACGCTTCCACCGAGCACTCCACTGTGACCCCAGGATCTTTCCCCCTCCCTGCCCCAGCAAGCTCAGACCCCATTTGCCTATACTTTTTTGCCCCATGCGCATCGCCTCACATCACCCAGTCTCTCCCCTCCCCGGTCCTCGCGTGCCAAATTTCACAAACACCCACCTGGCTGCGGGCACCGGAGCCCTGGCTTAACCAAGCCGGCCGTGGCGACGATCAGAGAAGCCATCAGGGAGGCACCGGCCAGCCACATAGTGCCAGGGAGAGCCCCCCGGCTCCAGCCAGGGTCGCCGGGCAGTGCCGCCCTCCTGTGCCCCTTGGCATCGGCTTCCGTCCCTCCGAGCGGTGAAGCAGCATTAGAGGAACTGTTCCGAGCCAAGGGCTGCGAGCGGGAGGCCGTGGCTGGTTGTGAAAGGCTGAGCAACTGGGCGGAGCAGGGGGGGAAAATAAAGAGGGCCCAGGAGGAGGGAAATGACAGCTAGGAAACACACACACACACACACACACACACACACACACAGACAAACACACACCCAGCTCCTCCGAAGGGAGTGGAAAACAGAAATCCCCTTGCTGTTCCTCTGACGAGATGTTTCCCAGGCTCCGACTGGCCTGGAATCGACACCTCTGACCCCTAAGCTGGCCTCCTCGCAGCACTGTGAGGGGAGGACAGCACTCCGCACGTGCTCAGAGGCACAGACTGTTGCCTGTCTTGGCCAGGCTGGGGGCGGAATGTGTTTCCTGGACAAAGACACGTTTCTGGGTACTTCGGAAGTCTCGGCTGAAACTGCACTGCGCCTTTTGACTTTTGGATTGGATTGCCAACCTCCTCGGGTGGAGCCCGGGGTTCTCCTGGGGCTACAACTCATCTCCAGGCCACAGAGATCAGTCTCCCCGGAGGCCATGGCTGCTTCGGAGGGTGGGCTCTAGGGCCCTATAACCTACCTCCAAATCTCCAGGAATCTCCTAACCTGGAGTTGGCAACCCTAGGCCCTTTATCCCACCCCAACAGAGAATTGACGGTTAATGGCTTGGGGTCAGAGCATGCACCAAACACCATCCCAGAGAACCTTTCCTTCTAAAATTGGTTAATTGCAAGGGAGAGGTATCTGTGGGCAACACGGCAGTGAACGAAAGACACTCTGCACATGCTCAGAGGCATTCCACACATTTTTTGGTATGTTTCGAAGTCCGGTTTCGACCTCCCTCTCCACGTCTAGATGAAATCCATCTGCTGCGTTAAGGACGCGTCAAAAAGAAACCCTGGCTGCGCCCTTTCTTCAGTTCACAGACTCCACCTACCCTGTACATTTTCATCCCGCCTTCTTCCAAGGAACCCAGGGTGGCATATATGATTCTATATGATTCTACACTGAGAGCCAGTTTGGTGTAGTGGTTAAGTGCGTGGACTCTAATCTGGGAGAGCCGGGTTTGATTCCCCACTTCTCCACTTGCACCTGGCTGGATGACCTTGGGCAAGCCCTAGTTCTGATAAGAGCTGTTCTTGAAAAAGAGCAGTTTCTGTCAGAGCTCTCTCAGCCCCACCTCCCTCACAGGGTGTCTGTTGTGGGGAGGGGAAGGGAAAGGAGTTTGTAAGCCGCTCTGAGACCTTTGGGTAGTGAAGGGCGGGGTATAAATCCAAACTCTTCTTCTTCTTCTTCTTCTATACCCCCCACACCCATTTAGTCCTCATAAGAAGCACGTGAGGTAGTTTAAGCTGAGGGAGAGTGTCTGGCTTGAGGTCACCCAGTGAACTTCAGGTCTGGGTGGGGATTCGAACCCAGCTCCTGCTCTGACCCTACGCTATGCTGGCTCTCAAATTAAAAGGGGAAATGCGTTTGGTCACAATCCATTGATCCAAAGGGCAGGACCATCAGTGTGGTGTAGTGGCTGAGGGGGGGGGGACATGATAGATGTGTATAAAATTATACATGGGGTGGACAGAGTTGACAAAGAGGACTTTTTCTCCCTCTCCCCAAATACTTCAGGACACCCAATAAAGTTGATGGACAGTAGATAACAGCAGGGGTCATTTCCTGCAGGAGCGCACAGGAGTGGAGCTCTGGCATTAAAGAGCCCAGGGGGCGGGCACATGTGACAAACCCCGCCCCCTGCTCCCAGCAGCCCTCAGTCAGAGCAAGAAGCAGCCAGGTAAGTTGCAGAGGTCCCCCCCCGCCGCCCAAAACAGTCCAGTGGCACCTTTAAGGCCAAAGTTTATTCAGGTACAAGCTCTCCTTCCTCTGCGAGGACAGATCTGCACATTCCCCCCCCCGCCCCCGCCCCAAATAGCTAGCAATCCAAAACAGTCCAGTGGAGCCTGAGTGGTGGGTGTTGCCTTCTGACACACTTCCGGTGATGCCAGGGGGTGTGGCATATGCAAATAAGTTATGCTAATGAGTTATGCTAATAAGTTGTGCTAATGAGCTCCTGCACCTCTTTTTCTACGAGATGACCCCTGGATAACAGAATGGACAAAAGGAAATACTTAATTGCGCAGCAAGTGATGAAAACGTGGACTTCCCTGCCAGAGGATGCCGTGATGGCCACAGGCACAGACAGCTTTGAAAGGGGGTTAGACAGATTCATGGAGGAGAGGCCCATCAATGGCTACTCGCCACGGTGACTAAAGAGAACCTCCACGTTCAGAGGCAGTCCACCTCCGAACCCCATTGCCAGCATGCAACACAGCCTCCAAACCCCATTGCCAACATGCAACTCTGTCTCTGTGCTCCGGGAAGCCCCGTAGCTAGGGAATTCTTTGGGAGGGGGCCTTGGGAGCCCTGCCAGCTAATTAAATGGAAGTACAGTGCAGGTGGTAAGTTGGAGCACTTTGGGGGCAGCCCAGGAGGGAGGGGGCCCAGAAGAAACACTAGGGGGCCAGGCCCCGCGGGCCCCATGTTACCTACGGGCCAGGGAGGAACTGGTTGGCCAGTGTGTGAGACAGGATGCTGGGCTAGCCAACAGCCTGACAGAAGGAATTATTTAGCTTTAGCGTTGCCAGCTCTGGGTTGGGAAATACCTGAAGATTTTGGGGGCGGGTGGGATTCGGTGAGGGGAGGGACCTCGGCGGGGTCTTATGCCACAGAGTCCACCCTTCAAAGCAGCCATTTTCTCCAGGGAAGCCAATCTTGGTTGCCTGGAGATCAATTGTAATAGTGGGGGATCTTCAGGTGCCTCCTGCTCGTTGGCAAAAGGGGTTGCCAGGTCCCCTCGCCACACCAGCAGGGGAATTGGGGGGTGTTCCGGGATGTCGCCGACGCTCTGGTTTAAGGGGAAAACTCTATGGGTTTTTGGCCAAATTTACCATAGAGTTTTGCCCTCAAACCAGAGTGTCATGCACATTGTCCCTTATGTGATGACATCACTTCTGAGCTGGCAACCGTCGTAGATGCTCAGCCAGCGAGCAGTCCTGCCTGGGTCAGCCACGGCTGTTCTTCAGAGCCGGGGAGGCCGTGACTGTTTTCAGGCCTACAGTTATCGGAACCTCTTAGGGAAGAAGAAGAGAGAAGAGATTGGATTTATACCCCGCCCTTCACTACCCAAAGGTGTCTCAGAGCGGCTTACAAACTCCTTTCCCTTCCCCTCCCCACAACAGACACCCTGGGAGGTGGGTGGGGCTGAGAGAACTCTGACACAAACTGCTCTTTTTCAAGGACAGCTGTGCCAGAGCTTGTGACTGACCCAAGGTCACATCAGCAGGTGCAAGTGGAGGAGTGGGGAATCAAACCCGGTTCTCCCAGATTACAGTCCGTGCACTTAACCACTACACCAAACTGGGGGAGACGTTTAATTCCTCCTTCATGATGGAAGTGTCGATCCTACCCCACTCTCTCCCGCACGAGGGCCTCCAGGACAGTCCTTGCCTGACTCTTGTAACCTTCCAGGGCAGGGTACAACATGGCAGCTCTTTAACAGCTCTTCATGCTGTGCGCCCGGCCCAATACAGGAGGTCGGGGGTGGATCCCACGGAAAATATTTTGCGCACCTGACTTCCTGTGCTCAGAAATTCCCCGCCGCTGAGCGGGACGTCCAAATGTGATACGAGGCCCATCCGAACGCCCTCCGGTGGCAAGCGAGTACGGAATTCAGAGATCCCAGATACAGAAACGCAAGATACTCGTCCAGCATGTTCTTAAGGGAGTGAAGCCATTTTAGGCTACATGCTGGAATATAATGTACCCATTTTACAGATAGGGAATACTGAGGATGAGTGTTTCTAACCCTAGCCGCTCTCTCGGAGTTAAATGACAGACGCCCGGGGCACACAAACTGGGTGTTTGCAGTTTTATGGAATGCTAAATGTCATGGGCAAACAGTATATAGCAGCTGCTCCCCGCCCTGCAGAACTGTCACTTACTTTCGGTGTGGTCTAAAGGTTAAAAAAAAGCTGACCCGGGGGTTACAGGACATGTAAACACAAGTAGTATTGTTGTGAAATAAATGGGTTGAGTTAGTATCTTCTCAAGAAGTGGCTGACCATGTGCAGAAGGCCTAAGAGCATGCTGTGAGTGTTCCAGGCAGACACGATTCCTCTGATATCTGGCACGAAACCTGGAGTCTCCCTGCTTTCTTTGTTCCAAAGCACACCAAGTTCCTAGACCTCATTGCTTCCTTCCCAATGAACTGAACGGCAGATCTAGATCTGTGGAATACGATTCGGTGGAAGTGAGCGTACCCCTGCAAAGGGCTCTTTTTGTAGCAGGAACTCCTTTGCATATTAGGCAACACACCCCTAATGTAGCCAATCCTCCAAGAGTTTTTACAGAGCTTCTTACAGGAGCTACTGTAAGCTCTTGGAGGATTGGCTACATTAGGGGTGTGTTGCCTAATATGCAAAGGAGTTCCTGCTACAAAAAGAGCCCTCAGCCAACCTCCAAGTGGCACCTGGAGATCTTCCGCTCTTAGAACCGATCACGGGACCACCAAGATCGGTCCCCCTGGAGAACATTGCCGCTCCCATGGCATTATATCCTGCTGAGGTCCTTCCTTGAACCCCTCCCTTCCCAGTCTCCACCCCCCAAAACTCCAGGTATTTCCCAACCCTGCCGACAAAACGCCCTATCCTCTACCAAATTTACTCTGGTAGCTGACACTGGATTTGCTGGTCGCAGGACCTCTTTGCTTTTTGGGCCAGGGAGCACACGCGACCTTACAGAACTGCAGTGTCTGCTTCTTCCCCACCCCACCCCCCAAACACACTTCCTTTTACTCAGGCGTGAAACGGAAAGAAGCGACAGGGCATTTCGGGGGTTTTTTTTTTTTTAAGAAAATGCAATTTCTCTTTATACCCATAAAATGATACAATTCTGCCAAGTATAGAAATGTGTAATAAATTAAACGGAATGTTCCCCGGCCCCCTGCCCGGTAGCGGCTGCCGCGCTATAGAACCCCTCGCCCCGTTCCAAAAATAAGACAGTCCGCGGCAACCCGGACACCCCCCCCCCCGAAAATGAACGTTTCCTCTTTGGTATCGAAAAGGGGCCTCGGGCAAAATGTGGGTGCAGCCGCCACGCAGAGCTTGTTCTTCCAGCAGTCCCTTCCTTGCGCTTCAAAGATTGAGAAGAATCCTGCAGACGAGAGGAGGGACCGGGGAGGGGCGAGGCGGCCTGAGAACGCACGGCAGAGCAAAAGGAGAACTTTTAAAGCAACTTTTTAAAAAACAAAGCCTGCGCCCCTTTCGGGGGTGGCAGGCCCACAGCCAGGATTTTTTCAATTTTTTTTTGGGGGGGGTTCTTTAAATAAGTCGGGGGGCACCCCTCACACACCCCAAGCAATCGCCATAAATAAAATTTAAACATTGAAAGTTGGGGGGGGCTGGGCTGGATGGGAAGTCATGGGGCCTTGGGGGTAAGTCGGGGGGGCGAGCCCCGTAAGGCCCCGCTGTAGCTAGGGACCTGGCTGACAGTTACGACTGTCTCGTTGACGAGGGAGCGATTTGGAAACTCGGCCACCGAGAATTCTCTCTAGGAGGCAGGATGTGCATCTGAGCTAGGGGAAAACGTTCTTCCCTGCCCGCTTTGTGTGCAATGATTTCGGGGAGCCTCCTAGCGTGGTGGTGGAGCGGCCCATGACGCAATCACGTGCAGGCTCCATGCGCCACCCAGAGGTCTGTAATCGCAAGACCAGCCTGGTGGGGAATGAACCGAAGGAGAACTCCGTTTTCAAAACCACTCGTTTTCGTTTGTTTGTTTTTAAGGGGGAGGGGAGACGTGGGCTCACGCGTGTGTGTGTGTGTGTGTGTGTGATGGCGGGGAAGAGCGCGAGTCCACAGCCCCCTCGTGCAAGGAGGACAACGGGCCCAATGAAACTTTATGAAGGCCCCACCGCCCTTCCCTGGGCCCAGTTCTACGGCCTTTTGCCGGGAAGTAGAGAGAATGGAAACCCAGAAGAGGGGGGAGATTTCCCAAGCTGGAACGCGAAGCCTGACTACCGAAGAGACCCCTTCCGGAAGGGGAACGGTTGCGGCACATCTCTCGCCCCAAGGGTAATATCGGAAAGTCCAGGAAAGGGGTGTGCGGGGGGTAATCCTACTGCGGTTTCTTTTCCCCCGAGTCCCGGTCTCTGGAAGGGATAACACTGGGGAGGGAGGACGAGTCGTAGCATAGGCTCCTCCTCCTCGACGACCCAATGTTACCTTTGCACCACGAGGGCCAAAAGGACAGGAGGAACGACGAGTCAAAGAGACAACCGGGCTCCGCTTCGTCAACAGATCTGTATGTCCCTGAGCTTCTCTTGCGAGTGATTCGACGGAACCGTCGACGTGTCAACTTGCCACATTCAGCACCCTGTTCTAGGGGACGGGTTACCCCGACGGCCACTCTCTGATCAACTCAGAGACCTCCCCCACTTTGCAGCAGCACGAGCCAGAGGCTGGCTGTAAGTGCTCGAGAGACTGCCGTGGGTACTCGGCCCTCGTTCCACCGCACGGCTGAGTTGAGCAGAGAGGCTGGAAGGACCCCCTGAAGGCCCTCGGGAAGAACGAGGAGGAAAAGGGGGTTCAGGATCAAGGCCTACGACAGCGACGATGAGGCGACTGATCGATGGGCAGGGGAAGCTGGTAGAGAGATGATGCCAGGATCGACCTCTGCTCGAAAGCCAACGTCAGCCGAGATTGTGGCTTCGGAACGGAGGTGAAGGAAGAGGCTCATGGACGGGGAACCAAGCGACACAGCTCTCTTCTGCCTTACAGGGCGAAAGACAGCAAAAATGGCGTGATGTGTCTTGGGACATGTTTCCCCATCCCATCCCGGACACACCCGGAGGACAAGGAATGAAAGGTAACCCCTGTCAATTAGGCGTCCTATTCAATTTTGCTGTAAACGAATGTATCTGGCTACCCTGCTGGAATTACAGCCCAGCTGGGGAATGGGGACAATGTGGTGGACGGCAGGATAGCGAGACATAGAGGGGTTTGAGCGACTGTCACGGGGCCTGTTTGTGCTGAAAAACCAACAGGGTCGTCTCTAAGGTAGCAAAAGAGCAACACAATCGAGTCGGGGGGGGCAGTGGAGAAGGGGGACCAGGAATGCTGTAAGGGGCAGGGCATCGCCCCGGACAGCCAGCTGTGGAAACAAACTAGGGAGGGACTGCAGGGAGGCTGTAGCACGGGGAAAGGGGGCTTGATCCTAAAAGGTCAACACTGATCTCAAATCTCCTTTGCTCTGCTGTGTTCAACAGGTCTGCCTTCGCCCCGTGCCTCCAACAGTGACGCGTGACATTGGCCGGGATCGTCGGGGAAAGGAGGAAGGACTAACAGGAGGCGGCTCCTTGCAAGCCAAAAGTTTGACATGATATAAAAATAAAATTCTTTGAAACCTTCTCCTGCCCCGGTAAGCGGTCACAGGGTTTGAGACGGGGGGGTGGGGGAGGGCGGGATGAGACGAGAGGGCAGAATCTGCCCGATGTTCTTCCGAAGCCCCGGCTCTCCCCGCTAAAAGAAGATATCCATATGCCGAGGAGCTGGGCATCTCGCTTCTTCACGCACATCCGAGACCGAAGTCTTCCTCGGTGGGCTTCGCCGGTCTACCACTGGCCGAGCCGACGCCGGGGTCTCCTGTGTTGCGACGGCTCCGTCTCATTCCTTAAAATGCCCCTGCTCGTCGCCCAAGGACACCCGCTGAGAACTTCTGGTGCCAACGGAGGATAGAAAATAAAAAGTCTTCTCGTTGTAAACTTAGATTGTTCTTTAGTTTATATATGTATATTTTTTAAAAAGACACGTGTGTCACGGTGAGGAGACAGGGAGGTGGGCAGAACGGGTGGGGTGGTGGACCTCTCCCCGGCATCTCGCAGTGAGGCTCCAGCCCACTCTGAGACCATCTTTCTTGCGTCTCTCGCCGGATACATTCGTGTGTGGTTCGCAGAGGAAAACGTCGCGCTCCTGGAGCGGGCAGATAGTACTGGATGAAAAAGACCCCTTTTGACGCAACAGTCAAGAGCGTCTGTCCTCTGTTTTGGGGGGGGCGCGGTGGGAGTTACAGCCACCTGTCCCACCGAGTCAGCTGGGTGTGCCACAATACACTGGCAGCCGGATATGGTTTTTTGGTTAATACGACGAGGGCCCAGTGGGTCTCGGGTCAACACCAAAGATCCATCTGGAAGGTTCCGCGTCTCCACGGCAACCAGCAGCGGTGGCCCGTTTCCGGCCCGCGAGCGACCTCTCGCCCCCGAGGCCGCCTGTCCGCCCTGCTTGTGTTTGTCCGGTCGGGACCATCTCGGGCTCCTCACACCTTCAGGGTTCTGTCCAGCCCTCCACCACTCGGGCTGCTGGCGGCGCTGCCGTCTCCGCCCGCACTCTTCTTCTTCCGCAGGGTCTCGATCCAGCTGGTGCTGGGACGGCCACTGAAGCTGGATAGGGCCAAGGAGCTGAGCCGCATGTTCTTGCCGGACATGATGAGCTCGCCGAAGCCCTCCTGGTGGGAAAAGGCATAGCCGGAGCGCCGTGAGCCGACGCGCCCGACCCGGCCCATGCAGCGGTGTTGGGTCTTCTGCTTTTTCCGTACCAGCTGAGTATAGCGCACCTGGGGAGGTATTGGAAAGGGAAGAGGAAGGACCACAAGTCAGGAGTTGCAAGGAGGTTTTATATATGCACGCCAAGGGTTTCCACAAAATCCTGCCTCCTTTTCTACCCTTCCTCTTCCAAAAGCAACTGCACTGTGCCCAGGTCGGCAGCAACTGATAACTCTACCGACAATCGTTTAATTTGCACTTTCTGGTTTATCTGTCCTGCCTGACCATCTGCACTTGAGGTCTCATCTAGGCAGCTAGCTATCAACAAACAATAAGGTAACTGCCAAGCGAAAACATATTCTGAAACCCGAATTATGTACATATGCGCCACCAGGATGAAACCGACTTATGGCTATCTCGGCAAGGGGCTTTCAAGGCGAGTGAGAGACAGAGGTGGCTTTGCCATCGCCTTCCTCCGCAGAGTCTTCCTTGGTGGTCTCCCATCCAAGAAGAAAAGTCGGTTTTTATATCTCACTTTTCTCTACCCTAAGGAGTCTCAAAGCCGTTTACAACCGCCTTCCCTTTTTCTCCCCATAACAGGCACCTTCTGAGGCAGGTGGGGCTGAGAGAGTTCGGAGAGAACTGTGACTGGCCCAAGGTCACCCAGCAGGTCTCATGAGTCTCAGAGCGGCTTATGATCGCCTTCCCCTTCCCCTTCCAGCAACAGGCACCCTGTGGGGTAGATGAGGCCGAGAGAGTTCGGAGAGAACTGTGACTGGCCCCAGGTCACCCAGCAGGCTACATGTGGAGAAGTGGAAAATCGCACCCGGTTCTCCAGATTAGAGTCTGTCACTACACCAAACTGGCTCTCAAGTACCAACCTCGCTTAGCTTCTGAGATCTGATGAGATTGAAAACCCAAATTAGTAAGGATTTAATTACTTCCCTTCTCCCTGACAGGCTCCTGCTTGCAAGGAATTGTTATTTTTTTTAATTTCCACAATTATCGCTAATAAAAACCATTATTAATTACTAATTAGAAGATTATTACTATGCCTACTATTATTACTATGCATACTATTATTACTATAGTATTACTATAGCAATTACTATAATTACTAATTAGATGATTATTACTATTTTAACTTCCTCAGCTGCACCTCCGTGATATACAGTCAGAAGCGTCACAGATTGGCCCTCTCACCCATTTGTCGAAATGAGGCCCGAATTCGGCAGAAGAGAGACGGGGAGGGTCTTCGCCTGGAGCACTAAGCCGTCCCACTTTCTTCCCCAGGTGATCGGCCACTCCCCCCCCCGACCAGCGTTCCCTCTAAGCTGAGTTAGTGTGAGCTAGCTCACAGTTTTTTAGCCTCCAGCTCACAGATTTCTGTCTTAGCTCAGAAAGGGTGGCTCCAGAGCAAACTAATTTATGCAGTAGCCAAATTGCTCGCTCACAACTTTAATGCCGGTAGCTCGCAAAGTAGAATTTTTGCTCACAAGACTCCACGGCTTAGAGGGAACATTGCCCCCGACCCAAGTCTCCCACGCCCCCGGGGGCCAAGTCTTACCGTATCCGACAGCTCCGGTTTCAGATCCAACTTGAGGAAACGGAACGCCACCACGGGCATAATGCAGATGACGGTGGTGAGGGCAATTGTCAGCCAGACGGCAGGCTGGGCGAGCGTGTTCTGGGCATTGCCTGGCCGGTGGAAAGGAAGAACCAAGCAACAGTGTGATGAACGAGAAAGGCTGATGCTGCCCCAGGGTGGGGTGGCGTAACACTCCGACGCTAGTGCATGCGATGTGAGCACACACAATGTAGTGGAATTCTCCCATAATGCAGTAGCAAAGAGCAAGAGCCCAGGAGCACCTTAAGGATTAACAAAATATGTGGCAGGGGAGGAGCTTTCGTGAGTCACTGCTCACTTCTTCAGAACTTCAGAAGTTCTGAAGAAGAGAGCAGTGACTCATGAAAGCTCCTCCCCTGCCACATGTTTTGTTAAGTCTTTAAGGTGCTAATGGACTCTGGCTCTTTTCTACTGCTACAGACAGACTACAACGGCTGCCTGTCTTGATCTATCCCGTAATACACACTGTTTTTGGAGAGAGGAGGGATGAGCTATGGCTTACTGGGCAGAGACACAGTTTTGCATGGAAAAGATCCTCGGGTTTCTCATGAAGCTGTCTTATACTGAATCAGGACATCAGTCCATTGAGGTCAGTCTTGTTGACACAGACTGGGAGCGGCCCTCCGGGCTTTTCAGGCAAAAGTCACCCACTGCCTGGTCCCTTTAACTGGAGATGCCGGGGATTGAACCTGGGACCTTCTGCATGCTGAGCAGAAATTCAAAACTAAGTTCAAAACTAAGCAGTTCAAAACTAAGCCATGGCCCCCTACCCAAACTGCCAGCAGCTCTCAAAGTTCCCGGTTGGAGGTCCCTCACTTCACCTGCTGCCAGAACCCCTTTAACTGGAGAGGCCCGGAATTGAACCTGAGGCCTTCTGCATGCCAAGCAGATGCTCTGCCACTGAGCCACATTTATTTTTCTATATATCTAATAGCCAAGGTGCCCCTAAGTGTGGATATCTAAATCCGCACATCGGGGGCACCTAGGGGGCAAAGAGATTTTCCTGCACATTTGGGGCAATCCCCAGATGTACAGAAAAATCTGAAAAGTTGAAAATAATATAGGGGGATACTTAAATCCCCCCAAAAGTAAAAGAGCGTTCCCTGTAGATGCGCAGGGAACGCTCTGAGAACTGTCTCGCCAGCGCTGCTTGGGGGGGGAGGTCGAAGATTTGGCAGGCCGGCGGCTGTGAGCTGCTCAGCCCTCGCCACCATTGCCGTGGAGGGGCGGGGGAGGTTTGGCAGGCCCAGCGGCTTGTAGCGGCAGGGGAGGTTTGGCGTGCCCAGCAGCTCGGGGAGCCGCACGGCCCTCGTCGTCGGGGCCAGGCAGGGGCGGGGGAGAAAGGGAGAAGGCTTACCTGCGGTGGCTTCCTCCTCTGCGTGGAGCTCTCCCCCTCCCCCCCCCCCGGTGAGTATTGCAGGTCGCCGCTTCTTGTTATTATTTATTAACACTCTCCAGTTAAGGATCTCAGGAGCTGGGCTATGAGAGACCCATGACTGACTGCCAGTCCTCATTAAAGAAGCAAGACTGGCTAGAAGCTTAAAGAAATGGGTAGCACCCTATGCCAGGAGGTATCGGTGGGCAGAGTACCTGTTTTGCAGGCAGAAGGGTTCACGTTCAAGCCCTGGCATCTCCCGTTAAAGGACCTAGAATAGCTGGTTTTGGAAAAGACTGCTCTGCCCGACACCCCAGTGAGCCACTGCCCTGCAGAGAAGACAATGCAGAGCTTGAAGGACCCACGATAAAAAGCAATGTGACATGCGCGGCTCTGATGGCAGGGGGAGACACACGAACTTTCTCACAATACAAGAGCAGATCAAAGGAAGTCCTTCTTCACCCAGAGAGTCATTCACACATGGAATTCAGTGCTGCAGGAAGTGGCGGCGGCTACAAGCACAGACAGCTTTGAGACGGGACTGGAGAAACATCTGGAGCAGAGGCCCATCAGTGGCTATTCACCACAAGGTCTAGATCAGGGGTGTCAAACTTAAGGCCCGAGGGATGGGACTGGTCTGTCCATGGATCTTACCCAGCCCGCAAGCAACTGCTATCTATGGAAATGTAAGGTACGCCCCCTTTTTATGGTATCCTCTGGAAATAACCTAGTCTTGCATATGATTAAATACATTTATCGGGGCTTTTATGGGCTCCCCAGTAAATTAATTGCTTTCACTACAAGGGATCAATTGCTTTTCTTTGTATTTTGAGTAAAAAATAATACTGTCAATTGAGTTTGCCTGTGTCCTTTATAAAGTTTATATCTCCGGTACCTGGCATTACACTTTATGGCACAAAGGGCTGACCCGACAAAGTGAAATTTATGTCAGATCCGGCCCTGAAACAAATGAGTTTGACACCTCTGGTCTAGGTGGAAGACTCTGTCTGGGGCAGTGATGCTGTGTATTCTTGGTGCTTGGGGGGCAAGAGTGGGAGGGCTTCTGGAGTTCTGGCCCTGCTGGTGAACCTCCTGGTGGCAGCTGGGTTTTGGTGGCTGTGTGACACAGAGTGTTGGACTGGATGGGCCACTGGCCTGATCCTGCATGGCTTATCTTGTGTTCGTAACACATGAAGCTGCCTTACACTGAATCAGACCCTGGTTCCATCAGGTTCGGTATTGTCTACTCAGACTAGCAGTGGTTCTCCAGGGTCTCAGGTAGAGGGTCTTTCCCATCGCCTACTGCCCTGCCTCTTTAACCGGGGACTGAACCGATGACCTTCTGCATGCCAAGCAGAGGCTCTTCCACTGAGCCACGGCCCCTGAGATGCAGCTCGGTGGTGGAGCAGCTGCTATGCATGAGGCTCCTAGTTTCAGCCATGAGCATCTGCCACGGATGGGAAAACCCCTTCTCTGGAAGAAGAAGAAGAGATTGGATTTATACCCCGCCCTTCAGTACCCAAAGGTGTCTCAGAGCGGCTTACAAACTCCTCTCCCTTCCCCTCCCCACAACAGACACCCGGTGAGGTGGGTGGGGCTGAGAGAGCTCTGACAGAAACTGCTCTTTTTCAAGAACACCTCTGACGGAACTATGGCTTGCCCAGGGTCATCCAGCCAGGTGCAAGTGGAGGAGCGGGGAATCCAACCCGGTTCTCCTAGATTAGAGTCCGCCCACTTAACCACTACACCAAACTGGCTCTCAAAGCGCTGGATGGAACTGCCACCGGTCATAACAGACAGTTCTGAGCCAGATGGGCCAGTGGTCCAACACAAGCCAACTCCTTTAACAAAGAGAGGCATCTCTCACCACTCACGAACACATGAAGCTGCCTTAGACTGAAGCCATCAAGGTCAGTATTGTCTGCTCAAACTGGCAGCAGCTCTCCGTGGTCTGAGAGATCTTTCAAAATCACCTACTGCCTGGTCCTCTTTTACTGGAGATGCCGGGGATTGAACCCTGGGACCTTGTGCACGCCAAGCAGATGCTCTGCCACTGAGATACAGCCTCTAATTAGACTGGCAGAGGCTCTCCAGGGTCTTAGGAGGAGGTCTTCCATATAACCTACCCGATGTCCCCTCTGAGCTGAGTTAGTGTGAGCTAGCTCACAGTATTTTAGCCTCCGGCTCACACATTTTTGTCTCAGCTCGAGGAGGATGGCTCCAGAGCAAGCTAATTTATGCAGTAGCCAAATGACTCGCTCAGAACTTCAATGCCAGTAGCTCACAAAGCAGAATTTTTGCTCACAGACTCCACAGCTTAGAGGGAGCATTGCCTACAACCTGGGCCTTTTTAACTGGAGATGCCGGGGATTGAACCTGGGACTTGCTGCACACCAAGCGGAAGATCTGCTACTGAGCCACAGCCTCTAATCAGACTGGCAGAGGCTCTCCAGGGTCTTAGGTGCAGGTCTTTCACATCACCTACAACCTGGACATTTTAAACTGGAGATGCCTGGGATTGAACCTGGGACCTTCTGCATGCCAAGCTGATGCTCTGCCCTTGAGCCGTAGCTCCCCCTGAGATGGGCAGGTGTGGAGGGGTGGGTTGGACTCACCAACAAAACGGAACTGGTTGGGGAAGAGCTGGAAGAGGCCGTCACTGTGCATGGCGAACAGGATGGCAAAGTAAACAGCCAGGCTGCCCCAGATGAAGAAATGATTGATGGCGGTCCAGAATCCTGTGTCCAGCCCGATCTGTCAAGGAGGGAGGAAGAGGGTCAGTGGGGCACTGCAGGTGGAGGAAGGGAGATGCTGCCCCATAAGCCATGGGCCTTGGCCAGAGTCCCAATGGGGCATTGTGAGACTGCAGAGGCAACCAAGACTACACAAGGACATCAGAAGGGCCCTGCTGGATCAGACCGGAAGTCCATCTAGTCCAGCATCCTGTCTCACCCAGTGGCCAGCCAGTTCCCCTGGAGGTCCAACAACCTGGCACAGAGGCCAAGGCCTTCCCCTGATGTTGTCTCCTCCTGGCACTGGGATTCAGAGAAGGAGGAGGAGGGGGAGAAGAAGAAGAAGAAGAAGAAAAGATTGGATTTATACCCTGCCCTTCACCACCCGAAGTAGTCTCAGGGCAGCTTACAATCTCCTTTCCCTTCCCCTCCCCACAACAGACACCCTGTGAGGTAGGTGGGGTGGAGAGAGCTCTTCCGAGAACTGCCCTTGAAAGAACAGCTCTGAAAAAACTTGTGACTGACCTAAGGTCACCCAGCTGGCTGCATGTGGAGGAGTGGGGAATCAAACCCGGTTCTCCCAGATTAGAGTCCATGCTCCTAACCACTACACCAAACCGGCTCTGTGAACATGGAGGTTTTATTGAGTCACCACAGCAAGTAGCCAGTGACTGACTTCTCCTCCACAAAGACAGTTTCAGAAGGGAGCAGTCGAACAGCTACATTTGCGTCCAGTAGCACCTTGGAGGCCTGCACCTCTTCGGGCAGCTGGAGCCACAGGACGGGGGCCACCACTCAGAAGGCCCTTGCCCTTGGGGACACAAGACAGACAGTCCGTGGACCTTCAATAAATGCCGAGATGAAGATCAGAGAAGATGGGGAGGATCACGTCCGGATTAATTAAAACATTTATAGCCCCCCTTTCCTGGTGGTTCACAGTGGCTTACAAGTCTAGCCCCACCTTGAAGTCGGTCGCCGTACCTTAAATCTCCCCTCCAAGACCCGGCGTCTGAAAGGCCGAGCCAGGATCCGCACCCCCCCTTCTTGCTTTGATTCAACGGGGGTGGGGGGCCCTACCTGCACACTGACGACGATGACGAGGGAGGTGGCCACGGTGACCGCGAAGGACTGGTAGTCGGCGAGGTGGGCGTTGTCGCTGAAGACCCCGTAGGGGATGAAGAACATGAAGACGGAAGTGTAGATGCCCTGCGCGATGCAGATGAAGAACTCCCGCTTGTTGAAGAGGAGGTTCAGCTGCCCCGGTTCGTACAGCTTGGGGTACTCCAGACTGCGATGTTCAGGCACGTCCTACAATACAGAAGGGCCGGATACCTCACAGGCTTCCCTTCTCGCCCTCTTTCCGGGCATTCCTTCCCCCCTGTTGTGTTTTCTCCCTGCTGTCCTTTACCCAGTTATAGGACACTGGGTGTAGAGCAGGGCCTTTTTTTGTAGAAAAAGCCCAGCAGGACCTCATTAACATAATAGGCCACACCCAACAGCAGAGGCTCATTAGCATATTGGGCCACACCCCATGACGGTACATCTCATCAGCCGCCCTGAGCCCGTTTGCGGGATGGGTGGGGTATAAATATAATAAATAAATAATAAATAAATTAGCATATCAGGCCACACCCCCATGCCTTCCCTTGGCTTTGCCTGGGTGCCCTGCGGCTGCGGGAAGCCCGGGCAAGCCGGCCCTTGGACAGACCGGGCATGGGGAGGCATTTAAATGCCTCCCCGATCCTTCCAGCCCCCCCCCCCCAGCCTGCCCGCTTCAGAGTCGCCGGGGGGGTTCGCTCTCCAGGCCTTCCCTCTGTAGCCACACACGTGCAGAGGTTTTGGCTGTAGTGGGCGTGGCCAACTCTGAAGCCAGCCGGAACTCCGTTCCTGTGCGTTCCTGCCCAAAAACAGCCCTGGGAGTATAATTCCACACATGAAGCCCATGAACACATACGAAGCTACCTTGGACTGAATCAAATCATCAGTCCATCAACTGTCTGTATTGTCTACTCTGGATGTCGGGCTTTCACATCACCTACTTTCCACTCTAGGATTCTATAGCAGACCTAAGTGTTTCCTGTGGGAGTGGTGGACTGGGAAGAGGCTAGGCTTGGAGAGTAAATCATACAGAGACACAGCAGGAACACTCTTTATCACTAGGCGACCTTGTGATCACCGGAGACTTTAATTAATTTCCTGACGGAATAGAAATTCTCTCGTCACTCAGGGGTGGGTTGGGGTCGACAGGGCTAAGGCGAGGCCAGTCTCGGAACCTAGCGGGGACAGGGTTTCCGTGGCGGCCAGAAAGGGGCGGGGTTTGCTGAGCCCCTCCCTGCCCTGTGTGCCTAGCCCCTCCCCTCCCGCCCTAATGGTGTTCAGAAGCAGAACGAAATCTTCAACTGACCTGGTCAAAGACACCCATGGCGAGCACAGGCAGCGAGGTGTAGACAATGTTGTACAGTGTGATGAAATACTGATCGTAGACGGTCTTTGGAAAGAGAGAAGAGAATGGCGGGTCGGGGAGGAGGAAGAAGAGGAGGCAGGGCGCGCCCCTACCTCCCCGCAGTCCGCTGATCCCAGGCTCATAATCTCTGCTGCCCCCTAGAGGCCATTCGTGTTAACAAATCAAGCTACAGGGCCCAAAGCAGATTTTTCATTCAGGGAAACTCATCTCTATGGTCTGGAGATGAGCTGCAATGCCGGGAGATCCCCAGGCCCCACCTGGAGGTTGGCATCCCTAAATTTTAAAGCCAATTTGGAAAGAAATGTTTTCGACAGTACTTCTCTTTTGGAGATGCTCTTTTGCGGGGCATTTTTTATTGGGGGGAGGGGGGGAGGAAAGCGGTGCCGGAACACTCAAGTGGGAAATAGTGGGGAATTTCACACTACCTGTTTTCTCCCGGTTTCAAACCGGGAATCTTCCGTTTCCAGATGAACCGGTACAGGGCTGCCGTTTCACACACGGCTTGCCCCTACCGGAAAGGAGCCGATTGACAAGCGGTTCGGCGTTTCACACACGCACCGCTTTGTTTCCCCACGGTTGTTTTTTTTTGTTAAAGTCCGTCTTATAGCGATATATCGATATACCAGTATTCCAATGTATTTCAATGGGATCGGTATAGCGTTATATCGATTTATCGATATAAGCCGAAAGTTCAAAAAAAAAAAAAAAAAAACCCGCGCGGCCGAAAAAAGGCGGGAAAGAACCGTATCGGAACCGGGAGAGGGAACGGGAGACTCCTCGGAAGCGGTTGACAGGTAAATCGCTTCCCTCCCGGTTCCTATACGGAACAGAGACTTTTGAGTGTGAAATGGCAGTCAGATCCCGGTAGGGAACCGATTCTCAACCGGGTTCTGTCTGAAATGACAGACCAGCACCCGGTTGAGAATCGGTTCCCTACCGGGAGTAAGCGCCTGTCTGAAATTCCCGAAGTTTTGGATCTGTATACTGGAAACGCATGCACTTTTAAACATTTTTACAAGAATCTTGTCAAAGAGGTTCAGGAACTCCATTCCAATGCGTTCCCCCAGGGGGAAAAAAGCCCCCCTCCCTTTTTTTGGCACTCAGTGCAAAAAAAAAAAAAAATTCCTTGTTTGTACCCAGTTTCACCCTCCCTCCCCAAAGTCTTTCTCTCTGTCTGGACTCCACCTGCTTCCTTTGATGCCACCACAAAGCCAAACCTGACTGGGCAAACAGTGCTGTGATGTCATCCTACAGTTCCCCCCCCCCCCCGCACATGCACACACGCTGAAAAACCCTTCAACCTCCCAGTCACAGTTTGCAACGGGGACGGCACGGAAATTTATTCTGAACCTACAAAGCTGCTGAGTCCGGCCCTTGGCCCCGCCTAGCTCAGTCCTGTCTCCCCTGATGGGCAGCGGCTCACCAGGAACTCCGAGAGAGAAACGTCTTTCATGATACCTGCAGAGAACCTCCTATAGGAGCTGCCAGGGACCGGACTTTCTGCATACAAAGCAGGTGCTCTGCCCTTTGATCTCCATCCTCAGACTCTACTATGGACACGCCACCCGACACACCGTCTGCCCACAGAGCTCTGGGACTGCCTACGCCGAGTGGCAGCGGCTCTCCCAGATCTAAGAACATCAGAAGAGCCCTGCTGGGTCAGACCAGTGAAGGTCCCTCTAGTCCAGCATCCTGTCTCACACGATAGCCTCAACCAGTTCCTCTGGAGGGCCAACAGACAGTGTATAGAGGCCGAGGCCTTCCCCTCATAAGGACATCAGAAGAGTCCTGTTGGATCAGACAAGTGAGGGTCCATCTAAGTCCAGCATCCTGCCTCACACAGTGGCCTCAACCAGTTCCTCTGGAGGGCCAACGACAGGGCAGAGAGGCCGAGGCCTTCCCCTCATAAGAACACAAGAAGAGCCCTGCTGGGTCAGACCAGTGAGGGTCCCTCTAGTCCCGCATCCCGTCTCACACAGGGGCCTCAACCAGTTCCTCTGGAGGGCCAACAACAGGGCAGAGATGCTGAGGCCTTCCTCGCATAAGAACATCAGAAGAGCCCTGCTGGGTCAGACCAGTGAGGGTCCCTCTAGTCCAGCATCCTGCCTCACACAGTGGCCTCAACCAGTTCCTCTGGAGGGCCAACAACAGGGCATAGAGGCCGAGGCCTTCCCCTGATGTTGCCTCCTGGCACTGTAGGATCCAGAGGCTACAGCCTCTGAACATGGAGGTCTTCAGGTGGATCTCAGGCCTTCACCAGCCAATCTTCCTGGGATAATCTTCACCTAGCAGTGCCAGCAGTTGGATTCGGGGACCTTCCCGTAGCGCTCCCCTGCCTGCGCCCTAAACTCGTATCTGACGAAGGGAGCTCTGACTCTCGAAAGCTTACACCCCCAACATTTTCAGTACGTACTTTTGGGATTGTCCTCTAGGCTAACGACTGAGTACCGACCTAGAGATGGGTCATTCCTCCAGAGTAAACACCAGAGTTTCCTCTCCTCTCCTCTCCCACCCCTTTCCCTCTTCCCCGCCACCTTCCCTCGGAGCATCACCTGGGCGGAGAACCCGCAGAAGAAGCCGAACCAGAAGTGCACCATGGTGAAGGCAAAGTTCTTGTAGAAGAAGTAGCAGAGGAACTTGCACATGCGCAGGTAGGACCAGCGCCCGTGGACCAGCAGGAGGCGCTGCAGGAACTTGAACTGCGAGAAGGAGTAGTCCGAGGCCAGCACCGCTTGGATGCCCTCCTGGCCGCTGATGCCAACACCGATGTGGGCGGCTGCCAGGTAAGAGAGATGCCAGGCTATACAGAGAGCTCTTTCTTCTGGCTCCCACCCCAGTAATTACAAATCTGCTCCACGGTTCCTTTCCGATCTACCATCTAAAACATCTGGCTCCTATCAATGGTTTATGACTAGGTTGGCAGGCAGTGGGTTGTGGGGTGGGGCAAAATAGGAAAATATGTGGCAGGGTAGGAGCTTTTCTGAGCCACTGCTCACTTCTTCAGCATTGGTAATTTCAAAGGGAGATTAGACAGAGAGACTGCTGAATTGCAATTGATAATGACGCTCAAGACAATGCATCCACCTGGACTGAATGGAGACCTAGGTTTCCTGTCTCATTACCAATGCTGGTTTCTCCACGCCTATTACCCCTCTGCATATCTCACCTAAATCCAATCACGCCTGCTGCTGTCATTCACCTGCTAATGCCATTCGGCGTGTGAAATCTCTCCAGTTTCCAGTCAATAGGACAGATGGACTCCCATTCTAGCTGTATTTGAAGAAGTGAGCAGTGACACACGAAAGCTCCTACCCTGCCAACAATTTTGTTAGTCTTTAGGGTGCCACTGGACTCTTGCTCTTTTCTTGTAACTATTAAATTATTGTCTAATTGTGTTATATAACTTCTGATGTACCCCGCCCTGAGCCCTGCTATGCAGGGGAGGGCGGGATAGAAATTCAATAATAAATTAATAGATAATGGGAGATAATGGTAGTTGGCATGGCTTACGCCCGTCATCTTCTCTTGCACTAGCAGACGGGCCAGAGGCAAGCCCTAGAGGCACCAGCAGCAACACATGAACACGTACAAATGGAAGAGACACATTCCCATGCACTTGTGGAACTGCCTTCAACTGAATCAGACCCTTGGTCCATCAAGGTCAGCATCATCTAACTCAGGCTGGCAGCCGCTCCCCAGAGACTCAGGCAGAGGTCTTTCACATCATCTATTCCCCGACCCCTTTTAACTGGAGATGCCGGGGATTGAACCTGGAACCTCCCGCGTGCTGAGCAGAGGCTCTTCCACTGAGCCACAGCCCCTACTCAGACGGGCAGTGGCTCTCCAGGGTCTTGGGTAGATGTCTTTCCCATCACCTACTGCCTGGTCCTTTTCAACTGGAGATGCCGGGGATTGAACCTGGGACCTTCTGCATGCCAAGCTGATGCTCTGTCACTGAGCCACGGCGCCTCCCCTTGAAAAAACACACATGAAGCTGCCTTATACTGAATCAGCCCACTGGTTCATCACAGTCAGTCTTGTCTACTCAGACTGGCAGCGGCTCTCCGGGGTCTCAGGCGGAGGTCTTTCACATCACCTACCGCCTGGTCCTTTTCAAATGGAGATGCCGGGGATTGAACCGGGGACCTTCTGCACGCCACGCTTTCCCTGTTCATTTCCCAGCACAACCACGTCTCCATAGGGAGATGTCGCAGATGGTTTTTTGCTGACAAAAAGGAAGGGAAGGGGGAAGGAAAAAGGCGG